GGTTTAGTAAACTTTGGTGCAGAGGAATCATTTTTATTTAGTTCCTCATTCCAGTCATCAAAAGCTTCATTTCGAAAGTTGTTGAACTGAAGTGAGAACTTGTGACTGAGAGCACATAATGTGGGTAGTGTTTCATAATGTCTTGTTATGAGAATAAAGTGAAGATCACTTTTCTTTTTGGTATATACCGTCAATTGAAGAAAATCCGACTCAGCAAGAATCTGTATTGTCACGCACTCAGAAGAAAATTGCTATTGGAGCACATTTACATTGAGGGTCTAAGCATTAATAACAGCAAAACGTTTGACCAAGATTCAGAGTTATTTGTCAGGACAAGACAAAATAGAGTCCAGCATTGAGACACTTGTGGATATTAAAAGGGAGAAAAGAGAGTTAAATGTCCACCTAGTGGTTACAATAAATGCTGCAAATGTCTATCCCATTCAAGAATTCTTTGTATTACAAAACAGGTGCACTTTTGGGGACCTGAAAATCACAGTATTGTCCATGATTTCATAATGGTTTAGTAATAGACAGATAAAATAATACTTAGCTTGTCACTCAAATCCACTCTACTCTGTGCAGAGTTCTCAGAGTCTGTGGAACCGATTGTCTGTACTGCTGAATCTGCTGCCTGACGGAAGCAAAATGCTGGAGGCTGGTGAGTTTTTAGAAGTTGTCAGAGATGAGCGATTATTCGTACATAGATTGTTGTATTGACACACCTGTCCTGTTCACATATCTAAGTTATTCTGTTCATCTACGTTTAACACAGAGCTGGGTCTGAATTCAGAGGTGACTCAACTAATGAACGAGTGTGAGCAGCCTGCTTTCGTCCAGACTCTGCTGCTGCCTGAGGACCTGGCTCTGAGACAGTTGCCCGCTCTCAGTGTAGCGCACCGTCGCCTTGATTTTGCTCGCCGCTACCCTGCCCTCAGCCCTTTAGAAGAGGTAAAGTAGTGTGATCACAGTAACACACCAGATTTAATTGCTATGCAAATAAATCAGAATACAAACTGTTGAAAAAAAGTTGGCAGTTGATGATCAATTTAGTCAGTAAATGCAGTGACTAGAGGTATCTGTCTTGTGTTTTTAGAAAATAGTTCATCCAATACAGAACAACATCATGTTTTGGGCCACATCATGTATCAGGTCATACTTCTAAGTACTCTTCTTCTCTAAAGTCAGCAATGTTAAAAATTATCTACTTCTTCAGTGAAACGCTTATGTCCCATTTTCCGAACGATCCTCATGAGTACAATCAATGGACTCTAAAGGTTCAGGTCATAAAACTGTGTTGCCCTTTTAGCCTCAACCTTTCAGAGTCCTAGTGATGCTGACATGTAGACCTCAGGGAGTGTTAACTCCTAATACACCTGTAAAAAATAAGTTCTAATCAAGTTAAACTGTTGACAGTTGTCACTCTAGTACAATGGGTTTCTTTTTGTTTTTTGTCGGTACTTGACCTAGTGGACTATCTGCATTTGTCTTACCCTAAATAGTATTTTATTTATGGCTGTGCTAAGAATGCCTTTCACTTCCTTATTAGCTTTCTAAAATAATTTCAGTCTTAACTCTTTGTAACTTTAACTAATTTCTCATCCAGTCAATGCTGCTGACCTATTTAAAATCACACTACTCTCTTTTAAATGTGCAAAAATGAATTAGCATTTTGATCAAGAACCCACATTTTACTGCTGCTTTCTGTCCTTCTGGGAAGTACTCACAATTAGAAAGTCCTCTTCTGTCTCTTTTTAATGTTTTGTATTTGTTCTTGTCAAAGTGTTTGCAATGCTTCCCAGTTCTCTGTTACTGTTGTACATTTCACTTCAAAGGGTCAAATTTTTTTTTTAATCAAAGGCTTCAAAGTCCAAACCATCCACTGTTTCTCCAAAAGCTGGGAGGCAGGAAGGCACAAAACCGTTCATGCAAACATTGCAAAAATAATAAGCAACTAAACCTTAGAGAACATTTCATTACTATGAACGTGTTAATATGCAGGTGTAACTGCTGCCTACATTTTCTAACCCTTACGCACAGGTATAGCTGCATTTGTAAAAGATACATTGTGTGTTGATATTTTTCAATTCAGTACATATTGCAGTCCATAAAGCACTGTTTATTGACACTCAAAATCATCTCCTCTGCCTGTGTTTTTCTTCCAGTGTGTGGTGCGAGTGTGTTGCATTCGCAGTTTTGGACACTTCCTAACAAATCTCCAAGGTAACGTGTTGCACTTCAACCCAGAGGCGGGCATTTTCACCAGCATCAGCCAGTCAGAGCAAGACAATCTGCTGCAGCAGGCCAAGGCCCAGTTCAGAATGGTGAGTGACCAAAACAACCACCAGGGGGCCTGCGAGTTCAGCTCTACTGTTGGGAAATGTTCCGTTGCAAATCAAAAGTACATTTGTGCAGTTTTGATTTAAATAACTTTTCACTAATTTGGAGGTCATTGTAGGTCATTCACCGTTTGTATGTTTTAATTATGTTATTTTGTTTCTTCAGGCAGAGGAGGAGGCTCGTCGGAATCGCTTAATGAGAGATATGGCCCAGCTTCGACTTCAAGTTTGTATATGTTTTCTATGCAATATTGTATTTTAATATAATATATGTTAACCTAGAAATATAAAAAGGTTGTACAATGTACCATGAATTTAAGCAGGTGGATCACAAACCTACGTGTAGTTAATTTTTTTTTGTCATTACTGCAGCTGATGAATATCTCCTCTTTTAACGTTGCAGTTAGAGGTGTCACAGCTAGAAGGCAGCCTTCAGCAACCGAAAGCCCAGTCGTCCATGTCTCCCTACCTGGTGCCAGACTCGGCTGCACTCTGTCAGCACTTGAACCTGGTTCGACAGCTGGCCAGCAGTGGCTGCTTCATCATCATCATCCCTCGGACTGGTTAGTGCTCTGACTCCGACGAAGTGTTTATCCAGTGAGAATTACAGAACTGTGTTCGCAGACAATTTATCAAGTTGTGACATCATAAACAAAATGTTTGTGTTTTTTCAAATCCAACCCCCTGCTTCTTCAATATGTGGTTGTAAATTAGATACAAATCTAAAAAGCAAAAGCAAAAAGCAAATGAACAGTTCTCACATTTCATCTGACCTTAACGTCATTAAAGTGAAGCAGACGCCACCATTCTGTCCCAGAACAAGCACATAAATAAAACATGAATAATGGATAGAACAAGCATGTACACACTGTTAAATGAGCTAGTCATTGAAAACAACAAAACTGAAGTGCCACTCACTACATGAACGTGAGGCGGCAAAACTAAACCAGACATTGCTGCAATTCTGCCACCGGAGGTCTACACTTAAGGGCACCAAAGCTGGGTGGAGACTGCCCCAGCAGTAGGGAGGCTTTTTATTATATCCGTAGTAAATTAAAAAACTCAAACAATAATATAAAATCTGATTTTTACTAAAGCTTTACCTTTAAAAGTCTTTGACCTGAGTCATTGTGTTGGCTTTGGCTCTTGATGTTGCGTCTTCTGCGTTGTAGTGATTGATGGACTGGACAGACTGAAGAAGGAAAACGCTGGGGCGAGAGACAGCATCCGCTTCCTGGAGTCTGAATTTCGCAGAGGCAATAGGTAGGTGTCTGTCACCTCCTCAGTCTGTTATCTGTGTATTACTCTAGTGTGAATGAGCCTTTATCAGTGACATCATTTCTCCACAGGTACATACGCTGCCAAAAGGAGTCAGGTCGAAGTTCCGAACGAGACAAGCTGAAACGGCAGGACATTGAAGCCTGGTAAAACTTCTCTTTTCACTTCTCTTAATGAAGAAGTTCATTTAATGTAACCGCACTTTAATCCTTTTGTCTTGTGTCATGGTCCAGGCATTTGTATAAGATGGTGGACAGCTGTCGTCAGCTGACCATCTCCCAGAACAATGGAGATGAAGATACAGCTGGTATGGTGACCATTTTGACTGGTCATCATGTAGAGGAGCTGAGCAGTCGATCAGCAGCAATGAAAGTGAGTCCTTTTTATTTACACTGCACTTCTACAGTAGGAATGAAGGTAAGTGATGCTGCAGACAATTTTAACAAAAAAACACATCCCAGCTTTAACTTCACTTTTTAGAATGCACATAATCACCCTTTTCCCCCCTCTCGTGTCTGACCCACACTCACCTTCACCCTGTGTGTTTTACATTTACATCAAGAATACCACTGACATCCTCGGAGGCCTGCAAATATTTGGATAGCTGTTGTAACATAAAATGCAAATTTTTGTGTTAACTTTGCATTACAAAATGAAAATGTTTACTTTGCCTGTAGGGATGGTTAACTAACACTAAAGTGCATTGCACTTCAGTGTTAGTTAACCAGAGAACACAGAAGAAATACTTTAAGTGAGAACATTTAGACTTGTCGCTGTATTTTGTCATCTAATTGGTTAGTGTATTTGTCTGTGAGCTGAGAGTCTGCTGGTACAAGCCCATCCAGGGATGACATTCAGGCTACTGTAGTCCCTCAAATTTGGTGGTTCCATAGTGTAGTGGTTATCACGATTGCCTTACACATTTCCCTTGCACACAGCAGGTCCTGGGTTCAATTACGTTATTATTCTGTAAAAGATTACTGTGAACAACACTGATGCTGATAAATGTGTAATGCATCTCCACTGAAAAGAATGGTTGCTGTTTTTCACAATGGTTTTTTTGTCACCGTTAGAAATATTCAGATGTTCTTACCATTGTCATCTGCCTGTATTTATAAGAAATCAGAAGTGTTGAGCACATCAGAAAGACACTGTTTCTACTGTGCTTTAATTTGAAGTTTTGAATGATATTTTTGCATAAAATATTTTTGCCATTTGCAGTCCTAATTTACCGACCTCATTTTCAGACGGCGATGCAGGCTGTGAGCTCTGCAGGCATGGAGCTGAAGAACATCGCAGAGTTCTACCGTCAGTGGAAGGAGATTGGCTGAGAGCTGAAAAGAGGGGAGAGCTGTCGTCACCGAGACCAGCTGATCGATCACAGCACTTGCTCCCTCTCTCTCTCTCTCTCTCTCCCACTCTTTTGCTCTGTGTGTATCTGCGTCTCCAAAGGCAAAAAACAAATATCTAACAACTCAAGAAAAGAATGGTGGAAGGAAGGAAAAGAGTTAGAACTAAGGAGAGGATGAAAATTAAATACTGTGGAGTAAAAAAGATGAAGAGAAACAAAGAGCAGAAGTGGTGCTAAAAGAGCAGCAGATCTGCCACTTCTATTACGAAAAATAAAGAGTGACCCCTAGTGGATGGTATGAGAAAATGATGAAGGGGATGCTACACATCTTTGAAGTGCCCCTGGTTCACACCGTAACCAGGTTCACACTGTAAATGTTAGCAAACGTGTCGAGAGAGACACACCATGCTCACACACGTAAACATGCTCATGCTCATATAGATATTTAGAGCAGCGGTTTGGATTTCTGTTCCTGACTCCCTTTGCCCTTTAGTATCATTGTAAGAAACTGGGTGAGGATGGTGCACGTCAGGTTTAAAGAAGAGTGTTTGACACATACAACACACACACACGTATGGGCTGTGCACTGTAAAGTAAGGTTGCAGAGGACAGATGTACCCTTGGGATCGGTTTCTTTTCTATGTGGCTTTTTTTTTTAGTCGTTTGTTTTGTTTTGGTTTTTTTTGCAGTGTACGTTTGTGCCCAGTGAAATGTGCTATAAGAAAAGAGACAACAGGTGTTAATTGCCCTGTCAAAGCTTTTAATTTGGATTTTATTTTTGTACCCGAACGTTTATTTTGCCTTTTTGTATCCCCTAAAAATGCCTTATACAAAAATGTTTAAAGGAAAGAGTCGTCGTCAACTGTTTGTCCACTGATCTGCTGCAAAATGATGTAGAAAAATTGAAATACCTAATTTATCACGAAAGGTGGGAGAAGCTCATTGGCCGAATTTTGTGGCTAAACAAAAGGGGAGGGGTTAGGAGGAGAGATCAGTACAATGTGTGTGTCCTTAAGGAGTGCGAGAACTCTCTGTAAAGTCTGACAAATGTATCCCAACCACATCAACATTTCCATAGTGACCGTCCCGTCATACACCGTGCAAAATTAGACCAGTGTATGTATGTGTGTGACCATGCATTGAACAATAAAAAGAAGCTCTTAAAATGTTCGTATCTATCGCTTGTTTTGAATTTTACCTACTGCGAATGACCAAAGGTTGACCAAGTCCTCAGTGTACTGTACATACTTCAACATTAGACAGAACTACGCAGAAGCTCAGAGAAAGGCTTAAGAAAAGCATGACAAATATATTTATGTTTGAGGAAAAGCTAAAGTTGTATATTCATGTTTTAAAAAGTTATTCCTGAAACTCAGGACTAAACCCAGAGAATACTGCTTCAGCTTTTCCTTCACCTCATCCCTAAAACTAGAACTAAATGCTGCTGCTGGATTTTTTTTTTTTCTCCCTTGTGCCTGTGGCCCCCTGCCCACCACTAACCCAGCTGACAGAATGACCAATCACGGGCCAACACCACCCTGCCAGGAGATGGCTGGCACTTGCTTTTCTCTCTCTTTCTGTGTGTGCTGGAGGAGGGGTTGGGAAAACTCACTGACCTTAGACCATTCTCTCTTTCTGGAAGCTGATGAAGCTGTGTGACAGCAGGGACCTCGGAGTGGATGGAAGTGAGTCTGCTGGGTCAGGATGAGCCACTCAATCATGCAAAACCCCAGGATTTAAACTTGTAACACGGCTAAAAGTGTGAGATCTGTGGAAAAAATGTCCATGCAGGGGTCAGTCCTGACAGTGGGGAAATGTCTGGCCTGCTTGGAATTTATATGTAAGTATAATATATTCAAATATTTGCACCTCGGTGCTTTGTTTCTTTGTGCTGATTTCATGCGTATAACCTCTGAGAAACCTGAACGTTTTCGAGATGAATGCGATCATTAGTAGCTGCTGTCATGGCAATGATGTCAGCGCAAACCTTTGTTTCTTTGCTTTGTCTAATGAAAGACAAGTCTTTGAGCAAACAATTCCACCACCAACGGCAAAAGATAAAAACAAATCTTCAACATGCTCGAAATTATTTACAAGTATAAATACTAGAGAAGATTTCTCTTTGCACAAAGGTTTAAAGCAGTGAGAACTAACCTGAGACTTGACTCTGAACATTGTACAGTTAAGCTTATGTACAAACAAATTCAAATTATAAATGTAAATTTGGTTTGTCTGCAGCTTACGCTTGCCTGGAGTTGTTGTCGAGCTCTCCATATGTACCAGGGCTGTCAAACTCATTTTTGTTCAGGGGCCACATACGGCCTAATTAGATGTGAAGTGGGCCGGATCAGTACAATCATCACATAATTACCCTAAATAACAAAACGTACATGTTTTCCTGCAAAATTGTAAGTACAAGTATAATAGAAAGTATTCATAATAAATGAAGTATATTTTGTTTTTGCATTTTTTTACTTTCAAAATGTATCAACAAACACCCTAGAGTGCCGGTTTTGGCCTGCTGTCCGTATGTTTGACACCCCTGATCTTTGCCCTGACACACAAAACCAGACTTTAAGACCATATTTGCTATGGTATGTCACTTACTAGTCATCTTTGGATTTTTTACTAATTTTTATAATTAATTAACTTCATTTAAATTAATTTTAATGCATTTTATAATTATGATTTTTATTTTTTATTTCAACATTTAAGATATTTTTATTTTATTTTTTAATAATATTTATAATTTTTCATCAATCATTTTTTAATGGACAAAATAAAACACTTCCCATGTGAAGGAATTGTATTTGCTGCAGCTACTTTGTTGCTTTTTTATAATATTTATCATCAACATATTATTTAAATATCTACACCATATTATTTATGTTCCCCTAGTGGAGGAAATAGACATGAGTTTCCGTGAAATCGTTTGTCCTGCAGTGTTTTCATTTGGTTCCTACAGGAATGTGCAGAGGAGGCAGGGGAGGGTGGTGTTTAGTTCAACAGTCAGCCTGGAGAGTTTTTTTTTTTAAAGTATGAGGTTGTGTTTTTTTGCCAAATGGAAATGGAAAACACATTTCATTTTTTCCCTCCTTGCAACAAACATATGTAGGTTGTCATCAACAATAGGATCGGTTGAAGCATGAAGTTGAAAGGTCGAGAAAGGTTATTTACCAGCAGCAGCAGGAACATCATGGCTGGGTGACTTACTCTTTCTAAGAAATGACGTGATGTTTTCAGTTAAACCCACCCAAACACATCTTGTGCTGAACAGACCCTCAAGTCTGTACTCAGCAGACCACTCCTCTCCTTCTCCCCGAATTCATGGGAACTCATTGTTTTGTAACTTGAAAATACTGAACCTCTAGAACGGAGCATTCTGGATCAGCTATTGGGTAAGAGCATTCTGATCCATGTCTGTGTCTCCCAGAGGGAAGGTGATTTTATTTTATTTTTTAGTTATCTGGCCAAAAAAATCCAAATGAAGGAGAAGCAGAAGAAAACACTAAGACATGTACTGTAAGAGATAGCACAGAAGAAGAAAGAAAATATTTTGCAGAGATCATAGTGCAATGGTTCAAGACATATTCAAGGAATATTTTCAGCGTGTGTCATCTTCTCTATTCGTCTGATAGAAGTGGATTTCTGTTTCAACAGGAAATTCCATTTGAATCTTACACTTTTACATCAATGTAAAACAAATAAATAAAAGTCAACAAAATATAGAACGGCATCAGGAAGCTGGTGAGGTCAGTGGAGGTCAGGTGATTAGGTTGAAGTATTTAATAAACAGTCCTGTTGTTATGGCATAGATTCACCCTGTATGTGGAAAATCCTGTAGTCTCCGGCCTTGATCTGAAGGAAGACACCGTTGTGTTGACATAGGTTTTTTCTTTGCTGAATAAAACAGGATGTCCTCTGAGCCCACAGTCCTGTCAAAGGAGTGTCTTCACATCGCACTGATGGGAAATCAGCCTTCATCCACTGAGTCATGTGATGTCGCGTAAGGAAGTCGGAGGGAGTTAGTCTTACGTAATCTTTTACAAATTTAGCCAAAATGTTAATCGGTGTTAGTCTGACGATAACTCTGTGTGACTGAGGTCTGTCCACTGTCATGAGATTGACACCTCACAGAAATTTGTATGTTGTTATGGGAATTTACAAAGTTTCATGACATTTGGTTAGATCAGATAATCGCCATTTTCATTCAGAGCATTTATATCTTCTTTGGTCAACCACACATTAGTCAAACTCATTCACAGCTATCGAGACTTTGGCTACAAATCAATGTAGGTGAATATTATTTCCTGCATGCTTTTATCCAATGTTTTCACTATATCTTCAGTGAATATTATTTCCTGCATGCTTTTATATTAAGATATGTTTTCACTATATCTTCTCACTATAACTAAAATCTAAAAACATTTTCAGTATATTCTCCATATGATGAACATTTGCTACTGATGTTAGCCATTAGCCAAATGATGAAAAATGATTAAATTTAGCAAGATGATCGGAAAATGATAGCAAAAGAAAAAAGATTGCACACATGCAAGTAAACATAAATTCAGGCTAAAACCTCAACCAATTTAATTTTTTAAGCTGAGCTACTGTTATTAACAATAATTAGTACTACTATAATAATTATTAATATGTAACATATTATTATTATTATTATTAGACATGCTACAAATCGTCATGAAATATTGTTAATTCGGTTCTGTTTCATCGAATAACTACGCGATTAAAATTCCGTCACGTGACTCTACACATGGCTGTTGTTGTTGTTGCTCCACTTTGACCACGTGACAGCACTTCCTGCAGAAGCTCCAGCAGAAAAGAGGAGAAAGGGAGGCTGAGTCAAACCTGTGGAGGAAAGGGTGAAGATACAAGCGCAGGGAGAGGAGCGAGGGGGAAAAAAAGAACAGAAGAGAAGGAACAGAAGGAAATTGGAGGCGGAAAAGGAGGAGAACTTGGAGGAGGAAAAGGAGGAGAGGAAAAGGAGGAGAACTTGGAGGGAGGAGAACTTGGAGGAGGAAAAGGAGGAGAACTTGGAGGAGGAAAAGGAGGAGAACTTGGAGGAGAACGAAGTCAGACAGAGTCGAGCGCTGTCTCTCAGCCACTGAGGCACAAACGAAGAGCGTTTTATTGTCCAGATTTGACCAAACTTTGTGGAGACAGAGGCTGAGTCTCCATGTCGGAGGGACGAGGTGGGTCGAAAATATATTGATAATATATTTAAATAATAATTGAAAAAACCATGAGAAAGTTGTCGCTTCTACAAACAAAGAAAGGGTGAGAGCGATGATGTTTTTCTCCTCTCCGCTCACCATCACGGCTTCTATTAAGGCAGAGTGGAGCAGCTGTGTGTGTGTGTGTTTTGGGAATTCCTGCACAAACACATGAGATTTATAGGAGTGAAGCAGAAGAAAAAGGTCAGTCATCCTGTCAGTTGGCTTCATGTGATCATCTCCGTGCATTCTCCCTGTCCAGTGCTCCTCTGGCAGAGACATTTACAATTAAAAAAGAAAAGAAAAAGAAAATCCAGCTGGAAAATGTTTGACTGTTTCCACGTGGATTTGAAACTCATTTGTCATCAGAAGTTGCCAGTTTAAATCCTGTGTTTAACCCAGGCCCAAAATGTAACTCTCCCTGTTATGATAAACACTCTCCAATGACGTTCATTAACATGATTATTTTTTACAGAGCCAGGATTTGTTTTACTTTACAAACCATCTTAAAAGCTTAAAAACTTATTTCAGATATTTATTTTAAAAAGTACACATTTTCCAGATACAAAAAGAGTAAAGGTACATTTCTTAAATATAATTCCTCCTATAATGACATAATGCCGTAACAGATGAAAACAAAATGGACCACGTATACACACCTGGATTATTGAAGTATTTTAAATTTGCTTTAAAAGAGGACATGAGTATTGAACTACAACTGTTCCATCCTCTCTGCTCTGTATTTGTTTGGATGGACATTAGAACAGTCCAAACCTGGACACCCTGTTGTGTTTGGACTGCAACTTTGACACAAAGTGTTTGTTCGAGTGCCAATCAGACAGGGTCTTACATCTGATACTTGTGGAGCTAAAGCTGTGGTCCTGGATACTGCAGCGCAAAGTACTGCAGATACCACCTAGTGGAGTTCTTGACTTGAGTAAACAGTGAACTGAATTTAACTGTGCTGTTGGTGGAGTGGTTACACAGTGACTCTGACCCTTCATTATACAGCTGCACTGATTGGTTGATTATTTTTGTTGATTAATAAATGGAACTGACGCTCTGCTGCAGCCTTTGTTGGGGTTTGGGTTTATCTAATTGCAGATGTTATAAATACACAAATATTCACTTTAACTTGGATAAATTGAAGATTTTTTGGATGTGCGTTAGCTCAAAAATGTGAGCCGTAAATCATTCTGTTTGTGTCTGTGTTTGTGTACTTACATAGTAAAGGTTGATGAGTTCCGTTAGGCAACTGGACATGACATTTTCTCAATACATTTCATGTCCAGTTGCCTGAACGGAACTGTTCAACCTTGACCATGACCTGGACGACTGAGAACCTTCAAAGATACTGTATCTTGCGGAGTGAATTGTCCAGGAGTTGTCCGACTGAACAATAAAACAACCTTGTCACATGTCTCCGTAAACCATCCACTCTAGTTTCGGGTTCAGTGTTCAAACCGGTTTTGTTTTTGACAGTGTGCTTCTTCTTTGTTTGTCCATGTTGGTCACATGTGCTTGTGGGCACAAGACACATGCAGACGCAGAAGTTCCTTGTTGAGTAAGACGAATGTGGAAGACGAGTAGATGTGTTGAAACTGATTGTGACCTCACCATCTTGTAGGTGAGGCATTGCCCTATAGGGGAATCAGGCTGTGAGTGTCTGTGTTATATAATGTTAAGCAGTTCCGCTCATGTAAAATGTAAACTTTAGAAAAACAAAAGTGACAGATGAGTGACACCGTGGGAAAAATATCCAGAGTGAGCACGGAATACAAACAAAAAGAGAAATGTTCCTGAAAAAGACCTGAGAATTCTGCTGTGTGAGCAGAAATGGTAAATCAAAATGAAAAAGAAAATTATGAAAGAGAAACAGAAACGTCTTTTGCAGCATTAGTTAAAATATGATCGCCTGAAATGTCTAGTAATCGATTACTGGTAAAAAACTTTTTTTTTTTTTCTAAATTCTGATTAAAACAGCACATGATCTTACACAACTTTATTTTTTTCACTTTAATGAATATAAAGCCAATTCAAATAGAAAACGGCAGATTAAATAAAAAATATCTGAGCTGGCGGTTCTTGATTGACAGCTGCGATCATGTGACTGCACAAGTGACTGAAAGTAAAATGTCTGTGGGGCCGCCAGAAATTTGTGATGTCAAAATGGTGTCACAAGCCAAAAAATGTTCGGAATGTTCACTGGATTAGCTCATCAGGATGTTGTTACCAAGGAACAAAACCACAGTGTTGAGCAGCTTATATTATAAATAAACTATTAGTGAAATAAAACTGTATAATTGAGTTGATTAACGTAGGTTTGGTGTTAGATGGTGTTAAAAAAAGACTAAAAAAAAGTTCTGCATTTGCTAAGAATGGACAGTTCTGTCCTCTTTGGAAATATCACTTTTTCACTCCAAAAGCTTGGATAATATATTTATATTTCATTCCTTATCAGTTTAATGACCTCTGATTAGAGAAGAATTATTTATTACCAAACATAACGGATAATAACTCCGTGTGTTTGAGCAGGACAATAGAGCTGAGGAATGAGGGGGAGCTGACACAGAGTCAGTCAGTGTGGGCAACAACATGCTCTGTCCAGAGATTTCTTATTGTTCGGCTCCGGCCAATAAAGATGCCTATTGAGAGAGGTCACATGGCGACATCACGGGCATTGGGGAAGAATGTGAGTGATTTCGAAAAGTGCAGGGAGTAAATCCAGACTTGAGATAGGTGACTGAAGCTGATGTCTGGAGCTGCTGGTGGTTTTGTGGTCAGTGTTGATCACATTTGCAGTAGAAGGAAGTGGTAATCCTTCTATCGGAGGAAATAGGTTCCTCACCTTTGCCTGAGAGGAAACCTAATTACTGTAAGAACGAATGCTGCTCTGCATGCATTAGGAAATAGGACTGTTATGCAAAACAGCCAATCAGAATTAAGATGTCGTTCGTAAAGTTCCTAAGGGTTCAGAATGTTATCTATCTATCCATCTATCCATCCATCTATCTATCCATCTATCTATCTATCTATCTATCTATCTATCTATCTATCTATCTATCTATCTATCTATCTATCTATCTATCTATCTATCTATCTATCTATCTAT